TTTGGTGTTCTCTGCACTTTACTATGGTTACTTCTTTAAGTTCCAATAAGGTATAATATCAATCAGTTGGTTCAAATGTTTAACAGGGATGCCAGCTGAGGTAAAAAAACCTCTTCTTCTCCAACAACACTTCTACATGTACAACTTATACTTCATAGACTGGAACAGTTAAGTCACAGTTTTGTCTTTTGATAGCTACATGCTTCTGCATAGGGAGGGATTCTTTGGCTGCTGTGTCTCTGGAGGAGTCAAGGTCGTAACTGGCATGTGATGAATCATTTTATCTTTTGTGCAGAGAACAGAGACTGTACAGAGAATTTAACTTGCTAAAAATTTGCAGTCTGCATTAAACCTTTCTGCCTTTTTAACTGCCTTTTCTACCTTTTATTTCTGCATCATTATCATTATTATTATTAAAGTTGTCTTTACTTATAGCTTTTGATCTCGTCCTGACTGCTCATGCCTTCCTCCCTTTGATTTGTTTATGCAATCGCGGGCTATATGTCCCTCCTTTCCACATGCCCAGCAACCTGTCCCTCTTTGATTTGCTCCTCCTGGTCTGGGCCTATCTTGTCCTCTACCTCTGAATCCTCTTCTGCTTCTGCCCCTAAATCTGCCTCTTGCATTTTGATAAAAGGCTTCATTTTCATTGTCACCTTCTGCAAAAAATGCACTAGCTCCATTTATTCTTTCTTTTTTTGTCCTCCTTTCTCCATCCTCTCTGGCTTTTGCTACTTTTTTCCATTCATCAATCATTTGACACCCATATTTTATGCTTATGGAGTCTTGTAGTTTATTTAATTGGCTTGTTCTTAGGCTGCCATCGAATCCAAATTTAGTTACCCATAATTCGAGGAATTGTAATTTTTCGGGCTCTTTCTCAAAGATTCTCCAATCTTGACATCTTAATTCTTCTAAATTAGCCTTATTGGCTTCCGTCCCCATTTTTATGTGTTTTGGTCCAGCTTAGGTGACACCTAGGGTGTCCTATTAAGCTGGGTTCTTTCAATGGGGTAGTGAAAAAAAAAAATTCCTTATGTGGTAATTCTCGCTTCTACTCTTGCGAGTGGAGAATTCTTGCCTTTGCTTCCACAATAAGGTCACTACTTACATCCCACTGTTTTGGTATGAATAGGATATATCTAGTGATATATGCCTATTCCAATCACTCTCACACTTTCACAATCACACTTTTAACACGTGTTTTTGCAGAATTTTCTCAATTAGGCCTTTTCCCTACGGATTTCTAGGACCCGCGCGTCCTTTTTTCAACGGATTTCTAGGACCCGCGCGTCCTTTAATTTAAACTTTTCCAATTAGGAATCTACCGTTTTTTTTTATTTTTTCTTCAGCGGATTTGTAGGACCCGTACGTCCTTATTCAGCAGATTTGTAGGACCCGTACGTCCTTATTCAGCAGATTTGTAGGACCCGTACGTCCTTTTCAACGGATTTGTAGGACCTGCACGTCCTTTTCCACAGATTTTTCTACGTAGGACCCGTGCGTCCTTTCTTTTCCTTTTTGTTTGGTCTTTTATAGATTCTCTACACAGAGCGAATCTCAATCATTCCACGTTCCTTTTTATAAGAGACCAACTCACCACTTGTCTTTCCCCTTGGCTTCGGGTTTCCGTCAACCGTCGGATCCCAGCAGGCAGGTCGAGTCCAGTTCCTCAAAGAGAGGCTGCCGTGGCCACGGTCTTATCTGTCGTCCACCTCACCTGCTGGAATCATCTGGTCTATTGGAATCCGGCTCGAAGGACCAAAGAAATGTTAGGTCTAAAACCTGCAACATTTACCTGATAACATATAAAGAAGAGAAAGACAATGGTATATACTTGAGGAGAATGGACCGAGATAGCTTCAGGTACCATATCGAAACCACTCTGAAAGGTATTTCCGCCCAGTCTCTTCTATTTAGTGTTGTCCCTGGTTACATAATGTTTCTAAAAGTGTGGAGAAAAATATGTGTAGCAAGGTAAGCACTCTCATAAAGCATAATAATGAACAGCTTGTGAATATGTGAAGGTCAAGGCGGCATCTAACGAGCTCCTTCTGATAAGCGTGTCCTCCCCTTATGTCCTTCCCACGATTCATAGTGGAGGATACATCACTCACACACCCCACCTGCTGATAGGAAAGACACGGTGACAGAAAACTGAAAGAAACATTGTTGTGCTGTGTAGTAAATCTATTGGAGAGAGAAGTTAGGAAACACTCTTATATGATAAAAATACTCTTATATAATGTATTAAAAGAGGTCAAAGGAGTTTATACTTGTAGTATAAACTCTTACATAAGAATATGAAGAATAATGATAACTTCTATATACATTTATGCTCATTATTCTAACAGGTTCTCACAGTGGTGGGGAGATTGTGGCAGTTATTCATCAATGGCAAATTCCACAGGTGATGGGGTCTGCTGCTGGGAATGATAAGTGTGCTCACATGCTCTCTCATCCTGTTACTCAATTTCAATTGTTCTTATTTCACAGGAAGAGGCAAACCCAGCTGCCCTGAGCCAGTGGTCTCCACCTTTAGACCAGCCAGGACGAGGGAATCACAAAATGTAATCCATTTTCACATGAATCAAAGTTTTATAGGTACATTTTCAAGCACACAATGTAAAGAGGGAAATACTTGGACATTAAAGCAACTGCATGTGTTTGATTTCAGCCTGGGGCCGACACAGTGAGGGCGCTGTACAAACTGTTGACAGGAGGGACCCTCTCCCGCCGTATGGCTGCTATGTTGTGCAGCACCACACAAGCGGCATTCACCCTGCAGACCCTCTCTGGAGCCATCCTGAGCCCACGGAGACAGGTGAAGCGGGCCTTGATGACCCCAAAGGTCATCTCTATCCTGACCCTGGTTTTAGCCAGGGCCACATTAAACAAAGTTTGCGGCCCAGGGTCAGGATAGGGGGTCAGCAGGTAGGGCTGGCAGGCGTACCCTCTGTCTCCCAGCAGCACTCCACTGAAGAGCCCTGCAGATCAAGAGGAAGAGCCTTGAGGAGCTGAAAATGTGGTTGAACATCAAAGAACAGATTCAGTGTACAGTTGTTTTACCCTGCTCGAGTTTCTTGCACAGCTTTAATAATAATAATAATCTTTATTGTCCCCAGGGGGAAATTTGCTTTCACAGGTCTTATTCAAACACAAAACACGAGTACAGACAACACATACCATACAAAACATATTACAAGGACAGGCCATGAGAACCCCCCCAGAATACCAAGAGACCATCCTAGTGGAGAGGCAGTTTGAGCTTGTTTACTGCGGCGATGGCTGTTGGGATGAAACTCCTACTGAACTGAACCCTCTTCCACCTGGGTAATCTGTATCTGCGGCCTGATGGCATGAGGTCGAAGTGATGATGTAGAGGATGCTCATTGTCGCTTATTATTGAGAGTGCCAAGTGGGTGATGGCCTTATTGTTCAGATCGGCAAGGGTGGGTGTGGGAAGTCTGATGACCTTGGAAGCAATACGGGTGATATTGTACAGTTTGTTTCTATTTGGCATGGACAGTATGGTAAAGTAACATGGTGAGCAGTACAACAGAATGGGTTGGATAATGCTTTTGTACAGTAACAGTAAAAGATGAGGGGCAACAGATAGTGACCTTAGTCTACGGATGACATGAAGTCGTTGCTGGAAACGTTTATGGATGGAAGTGATGTGTTGATCAAACCTGAGTTTATTGTCCAAGATGAGTCCAAGATATGTGAAACTGTCAACCTGTTCAACTGTTTTGCCATGAATGAGGAGTGGGTTAAGCCTAGTACGAGTTGATGGAAAGACCAGTTCTTTTGTTTTGTCCACATTCAACTCCAGGAAGTTGTCAGTGCACCACTGGGTGAAATGGGAGATGGTGTTCTGATAGTCCGTAATAGAGTCATTGTCATGTAGCAGTGCGAGGATGGCAGTGTCGTCTGAGTATTTGAAGTATGTGATGTTGGTGGGTGAGGGGCTGATGCAGTCATTTGTGTAAAGTGTGTAGAGGAAGGGACTGAGAACACAGCCCTGGGGGGCCCCCGTGTTGGTGATGACTGTTGATGAGGAAGATGAGCCAACTTTGACTGATTGTGGTCTGTTGCTCAGGAAATTGTGGACCCAGTGGATGAGGAGTGTAGGAATGTTGAGGAGGTGCAGTTTTTTGATCATGTGATGGCGTTGTATGGTGTTAAAGGCGGAACTGAAATCAACGAAGAGGATCGAAGTGGAAAAATTGTCCGATGATAAGTCCAGGTGTTGGAGAAGGGAATGGAGGAGGCATGCCACAGCATCCTCTGTCCCCCTCTTGGCCCTATAGGCAAACTGATACGGGTCCAGCTGTGACCTGACAGCTGGCAGCATGATGTTCAGTATCAATCTTTCTAGGAGCTTCATCATGATTGATGTTAATGCAACGGGTCTGTAGTGGTTAGGTTCCGAGGGGCGGGGTTTCTTGGGAACTGGTATGATGGTTGATGTTTTCCACAGTGTGGGTATGGATGCAGTTCTGTAGGATTACCAGAAGATGGAATGCAGGATGGGGGAGAGCTCTGTAGCACAGAGTTTGAGCACCTTTGCTGTGATGCCATCCGGGCCCGGCGCCTTGCCGGGTTTGCACCTGCTCAGCAGCTGTCGTACCTCTTCCTGCCTGAAAGGGGGGTGCGAGGGCGCCTGGAAGGGGAGTGCTCCCAGCAGCTCCTCGCATTCTGCTGTATAATCGTGGTTGTCAAAACGTTTATAAAAAGTATTCAGGGTGTTTGCAAGTTTTAACGGATCAGGGGTGGTGCAGTTCCTTTGTTTTGTCTGGCCACCTGTAAGAATTCTTATTTTATTGAAGGCCTCTTTTGTGTTCATTATTCTAAATTCCTGTTCCATGTTTTTTTTTAATTTTAATTATTTTTAGGGCGGCCCAATCACGGCGTTGAAATGCCTTCTGTTTTTCCCTGAAGCTATGTCTGAGATGAGCAGTGATCCATGGTTTGGAGTTTGGATATTTTTTTGTTGTCTATGTGGGTATGGTAGTAGAGACACAGAATTTGATGTAGTCAGTGATCACAGAGACCCTCTCATCTAGGTCGCCTTGAAAGACGTCCCAGTCCGTACAGGCTAGTGAACCCTGCAGCTGCGCAATAGCGTCCTCCGACCATTGAGGGGCGCAGTGTGATTGTGGTCTGGAGCGCTTCAGTTCCGGCTTGTAGTGCGGAAGCAGGAACACAATGTTATGATCGGAGCTGACTCCAGAACCACCGAGCGGAGGATGAGCCCTCACAGTGAAGGCATCGTCAATGTTTCCATAACACAAGTCCAAGGTGCGTTCGTTCCTGGTGGGAACATCCACGTACTGTTGAAAAGAGGGCAGTACCCCCTCGAGTCTGCAGTTGTTGTAGTCCCCCATAAAGAGCACCGGGGCTCCGGGGTATTTAGCTAACAGGGAGTTAGCCGCGTCGGCTACCTCTTCTGCTGCCACTCTGTTATTGGCTTTGGGATGGATGTAAACACACCCAATAACCACAGTGGGGAACTCACAGGGGAGATAAAAAGGCCAAAGTGACAGTGTTAACATTTCCATGTTAGGTGTGCAGACTGTGTTGTGGATTTTGATGTTGTTACACCACCTGTTGTTTATAAACACGCACACCCCCCCCGCCGCTGTCCTTGCCTGACTGACCTGTCCTGTCGGCTCGGATGATGGTGAATCCGTCCAGATTGACTTCGGAGTCCGAGGTGGTCTCGTTTAGCCAGGTCTCCGTCAGGGCGATGATGCATGCCTCCTTGAAGGCTCTTGTCAGCCGACATCTGGCGTGCAGTACGTCCATCTTTGGCTTTAAAGAGCGAACATTCGCCAGGATAATGGAAGGGAGATGGGGTCTGAAGCGGCGCTTCCTTAGTCTGGTCCGCACACCCCCCGGTTTTCCCCTTTTTCTCGGGCGTAGCTCCGGTGGTATAGGATCCCCCGGTCCTACCTTGCAGAGGACAGATGATCGGAGTTGGAGTAGATCCTCCCGGCTGTAGGTGAGTGTTCCGCCACCGCTAGCCGCTGAGGCTCGTGCCGAGCTAACCACCAGTGCCACCGCGGTGGAATCGTTTAGGATCCACAGTATTATAAAAACGATCCAAAGTAATCTGTACATGTCCAGCATGATGTGCGTTTAGCCAGGACAGTCGGGGGCTCAGACGGCCGTACAAATAGACAGAAATAGACAAAAAGAAAAACTGGACAGATGTGACAGGCGAACAGACCGTGTTGTCGCAGCCGAGCATGCACCATAGACTCTCTGAAGATGCGGGAGTCATGCACGGAACCTGGCCACTTTGCCTCAAGGCTAGTGACCATCATTTGATGGTCACATATCATCTGCAGACACATTTGGTGTTAACAGGAGTTTTCGAATCTGCTTAAGTACATTCTAAATGACTGATATGCCACATGAAACTGGAACTTATATTAGTATATTACAAATATTAGTGCATTGCTTAGACTTCACGCTACTTGAATATTGAGGCTGTGGAAGTTTTTCCTGTTCACATAGTCTGCCTCAATTGGCCCCAGACTGGCTGTAATGGGGATGTGAGTGCAGTCTATGGCCCCCATCACTCTGGGGAAGCCTGAGAAAAGAGAAAAGGTTTGAATATCCAAATACATACATGGAAAAGTATAATATGTGGACTTGCCATTTATGGACCTACCTGCCAGTGTATAAAACCCCTCTTTGATGGCATGCAGAGGCAGATGTCCAGGGACAACAACAGAGGTGCAGCACTTAGCAACATAGCAGGGCTGTGTAGAAATGAACTTTTTTGTTCACCTGCCTCTATGGCTTGTCAACAATATCCTCCACATTTAGCTGCTCCTTACAGCTGACATGATTCAGGAGGATTGTTACGAATATATGTGTCTGAGTGTCCAAACGTGAGTGTGTGAGTATCTGTGTGAATATGTCTGCATGTGAAAGTGAGCATGTACCTGAGTGGGAGTGTCTGTGTGAGAGTGTCTCTCTAATTGCAGGATGCCCAGAACCTGCAGCTGCTGCTGTAATAAAGGGAGCAGAGAACATTCAGCTCATTCTCTCTCATTCTCAGCCCCAGAGTGACATTCTGCAGTGGAGCAGCAGCAGCCTTAGTGTGATTTTCTCAACAATGATTGGAAAAGTGATTTATCTTTGTTTAGACAGAGTGGTGTTTCTTTTATTTCCCTTTGGTGCGTTTTTGTAGCTGTCACCTGTTATTGGTAGTCATCCTGTTTTTGAGAGGATTGCGTTGTGCTATAATTATTATTGTCCTTAGTTTTGTAAAGATTGTTTTATGTTTGTGGTAGTGCTGACCTAAGTATTGAAATACTTGAGTTATTGCATATTCTTGCTGTTCTCTTTTTTATTTCCATCCTTACCTGGTTTTTCTATTTCTATTTTTGTTAGTCTTGAGAACAAGTGGCCTATCAGGACCTAACAAGGATTTTCATTATTCCACTGTAAGCATCATCATTATCATAGTTGTAATTTATGGCAAGCCTTTTGAACATTTAATAGCTAAGTTTGACTATCCAGAATTACCATTGAAGATATCAACAACTTCTTTCTGACTAGTCGTAACTACATTTCGTCCATTAATCCATCTTCAGCCACTTATCTGGAGTCAGGTTGCGGGGCAGCAGACTAAGCAAAGAAGCCCAGACTTCCCTCTCCCCAGCCACTTCGTCCAGCTCTTCCCGGGGAACTCTGAGGCGTTCCCAGGCGACCTGAGAGATATAGTCACTCCAGCCTGTCCTGGGTCTTCCCTGTGGTATCGTACCAGTGGGACGTGCCCTGAACACCTCACCAGCGAGGCGTCCAGAAAGCATCCTGATTAGATGCCCAAGCCACCTTATCTGGCTCCTCTCAATGCGGAGGAGCAGTGGCTCTACTCTGAGCCCCTCCTGAATGACTGAGCTCTCCACTGGCATCCACCAGCAGGATAGGGTGTTACCGCTACAACCAGCATGATCACCTTACGGCCACAGCTCCGATTGACTTCCTCAACAATTGAGGCATGGAACATAGCCTACTTGGACTTAATGTCCCCCACCTCCCTGGGAACATGGTCGAAGCTCTCCTGGAGGTGGCAGTTGAAGCCCCTTATGACAGGAGACTCTGCCAGACGTTCCCAGCAGATCCTCACAATGCACTTGGGTCTGCCGGGTCTGACTGGCACCCTTTCCCACCATTGGAGCCAACTCACCACCAGGTGGTGATCAGTTGACAGCTCTGCCCCTCTCTTCACCCAGTGTCCAAGACATGTGGCCTCAAGTCCGATGACACAACCACAAAATCGATCATCGAACTGTGGCCCAGGGTGCCCTGGTACCAAGTGCACATATGAACATCCTTATGTCTGAACATGGTGTTTGTTGTGGACAATCAAAACAAAGCACCACTAATAAAGTTCAGAATAGGGGGGCCATTCCTCCTAATCACACCCCTCCAGATCTTACTTTTGCTGCCAACATGGGCATCGAAGTCCCCTAGCAGAACAAGGGAGTCCCCTGAAGGAGCGCTCTCCAGCACTCCTTTCAAGGACTCAAAGAAGGGTGGATACTCTGAACTGCTGTTTGGAGCATAGGCACAAACAGCAGTCAGGATCCGTCCCCCCACCCTCCGAAGGGAGGTTACCCTCTCGTTCACTGGGGTGAACCCAAACATACAGGCATCGAACCTGGGAGCAATAAGTATCGCCACCCTAATCCAGCTAAATGAACTCAATCTGATCTTCTTTGTCCTCAGGGACCAGGAGGAGCTCAGGAGACCCTGTAAGACAAAGGTGCGATAAGACAAAGATTTGGTTAGCAGGAAAGTCATTAAACTATTATTCATTAAATGATATGAAACAGATTTAGAAGCTTATACTTACTTTCTCCGGCCTCAGTGTCCAGGAGAAGCTCAGTGAGATAAAAGTGAGGTAAGACAAAGATTGATTAGTGAGAAAGTCATTAAACTATCGTTCCATAAATGATATTAATATTTAGTGGTATTTGATCTGATTCAAAAGCTGATACTTACTTTTTTGGTGTGTGTAGAGGTAGCCAGCTGCTCAGGTGAGAGAGAGAAAATGATATTAAAGTGTAAGTAAAACTGGCAAACACTCTTGGAATTATAATGACAATAATAGGTATAAATAATTGACTCTTTTCTTGACAGCAATAGAATACATTTAACAAAGATAAGCAGTAGGAAAGTAGGATTTTATCATTGACAACCAAATGTGAGAGTCTACAGTCACTGGTTTGGGGCTGTTCTTTACAATTCATAAAAAATTGTCATTTTAACAGTTAAACCTTAACATGAAGAATTCTGTGTTAAGACAAAAAAACCTGGTTAGTAAGAAAGTCTTTCACCCTTTTTTCAATAAATAATATTAGTATTAAGTGATATTTGATCACATTCAAAAGTTTGTACTTAGCTTTCTTCCTCCATGTTGCATGGATGGGAAAAGCTCTCCAGAGCTGTCATCTTTTGATCCAGGTTTCTGTTGTCTGTCTTGTCTGTCTTGTTGTCTGTCTTCTGTCACTAAAGGTTCCTGTCCCACTTTAAACATGAGGTTGGACAGCCTGGCCTGCCTGACACAAGTCCTACCTGAAGTGTCACCAGTCCAGCCAGACACAAAGACTGGCCCTCAGGATTCAAGAAAGTAGATCCAACCGTCTTGCCCTGCCAGACACAAAGGTGAGACTAAAAAGGGTCCATAATCCCACGAATGTAAAGAAATAAAAGATCCAGGTGCCAGACGTACCTGAGTCTCTGAAAGCCCTGACAGATGCAAAGGCTGCTCAGGGTAAGCCTGTCCAGCCAGATGCAAAGGTAAGACTCTAAAAAGGGTCCATTATCCCTAAAAAATATCAAGAAATAAAGGTTCCTGGTGTAAGACGCTACTCAGGGTTTCCAAAGCCCTGACAGATGCCAAAGTTCCTCCTCAGGGTCAAAAGGATCCATTATCCCTGTCCTGGGAATCCAAGGTACCAGTGCAAGATGATCTTCTGGGTTCAAAAAGTCCAACCAGGTTAAAGGAGTTCCTTGGACTGCTGTTTGTATCAGATGAAGAGGACAGTGTCAGCAGGACAATCAGCACAGGAGAAACCAATAGGAGCAAGAGGGTAAATCGGAGAGAGAAGAAGAAGAGGAATCAGGAGGAGCAGGGGTACAAACAGGAGGGGAAGCAGGATGAGGAGGAGCAGAGCTATAAGCAGGAAGAGGAACAAGGGGGTAAGAGTAAATACAGGGTGGTTGGAAAGGAGGAGCATCAGCATGATGATCAGTCAAAGGCATAGCAGCAGGAGCACAAGGCAGAGCATAGAGATCAGCAGGAGGATAATCAGGAAGAAAAGCAGCAACAGGGTAGAAATCAGAGGGAGCAGCAGAGGAGAAAGCAGGAAAAGTAGCGGAGGAGGAATAAGGACAAGCAACAGAATGGAATTAAGTAGAAAAGGTTTCAGGGACAGATGGAGGAGAAACATGAAGGGGAGCAGGGGTATCCGCACGATTTCCAGGAAGAAGACACAGGTAGGAGAAGGAGGACAGGCAGGATAATAGGCAGGAGCAAGAGTATGGGGGCAAGAGCAAATACAAGCTAGTTCAAAAGGAGGAGCATAAGCAGGATGACTAGACAAAGGAAAAGCAGGAGCATAAGGCAGAGCCCAGGGATCATCAGGAGAGGAGAAATCAGAGGAAGCAGCATCGGGAAAATAAGGAGAAGCAACAGAAGAGAAATGAGGAGAAAAAGTTTCAGGGACAGTCAGAGGAAAAGCATGAAGGGGAGCAGAGGGAGGAGAAGGAGGGCAGTCAGGACAATAAGCAGGAGGAAGAGGGACACCACCTGAGGGAAGAAAACTATCAAACTGTCAAAGTCTGTGCATCTATAAGAGAATGAAATATGAGGCCCTCAGGATTATTGATGGTATTCTGCTGTTGGAGTACAATGACCACACATGAGCGATAATAACTGTAGTTAAGACGACAGATTTATTACACTGAGAATAAAAGTGTAGTGATTTGAAATGAGCCTCATACGGTCGCACCAAAATATATGTAGCGATTTGAAATGAGCCTCACAAGGCTGCACCAAAATAATACTTGGCGATTGGAATTTATAATAAATGTCTGAAGATTAATAATCTCAAATTATGACATTTATGCACTCGTTGAAAGGGGCACCACCCACCCTTAATGGTGGGAAAATAAAGAAAACAAAAGTTTAATTCAGAAATCAAACATCAAGTCAGTTTTAATTAATCAGTCTTAATTAATCAGTCTTAATTAATCAGTCTCATATCTTAAGTCGAAATTCTAATTTCAGGGACTCCACTTCTGGAAGAACACTAACAGACAGGAACTTAGAAAAATAATGATCTGTTTATTACAGGATAAATGATGGTACAACACACATGCAATAAAGGATGATAAGATAATGAAGATAAAATAATAATAGGTGAATAAATAAAGATTCTGAGTCAGGCTAGGAGCACTAAAGTTAATGATAGTGAGTGAATATGCGCTAACATATTAACCTACACAAACTTTGGTGTCGAGATAAACTCGGATGTGGATTTGGAGGAATCTAAGATCACCAGAAATAGGTGGATATCTGAGTTATGAACGCATGAGACAGCACCAGCCCTCTCTGGAGCTCTGGAGGTTTGCATACTTAAGTGAGACTGGTCCTTGGAGAAGATGGAGCAGGTTCCGAAGGTCCGGGGCTACTGGCGGTTCGAGCGGTTCAGCTCAGAAGACGACTGAAGTCAGCCGAAGGATGAGCCAGGAGTTGCAGCACTCGGGCCCGAAGCAAAGCCAGCGCCTGTGGATCCTGTGGATGCTCGTTTGGGTACTTCTTTGGTCTCACTTAAAAACTCTGGCACAGAGGATGACCTGGGCCTGCTGGGTTGCGTTCAGAGGTGACTTTGAAATCACGCAGAAAACTCAGAAAAACGAGGCTCGAAGAGCAGAGAAAACTTTCAAAAATGGCTTCGCGAAATTAAAGGAAAATCAATCAAAGGCTTAATCTTGAATTGCTATGCGCACAAAAAGTTGAAGTTTCAAAACTTGAACTAAGACGATGTTAAAGAAAAATCAACGTGAATCAACACGTGGCGTAAAACTTAGAAGACTAAGAAAAAGTTCTAAGAGAAAACAAAGAAAGGCACCACAGAAGGGTGTGGGCAGAAGAGAAGGGCCCAAGAGTAAGGGGCCTAAGAGAGACAGGAGAGTCAGCACACAAGAGCAGAAGCAGAAGAGACATAAGAGGAAAGAGAGTGAGCAACCCCACTCCACTGGTTTTATCTTCTCACACTGGGAGTGTCTGAGGAGAAAGAGGAGGGGTCATCGGGTCTCTGATTATTTGATCTAACTTATTCTTTTGGCTGGTAAAAGAGTCAGATCTGATACTCACTCACTATGATTAATATCATTGAATGCTTGGTTTCATGATAAATAATTTGATACTAAACACATATGAATGAAGTGTAGAATCACATCAAACATTCTCATTATGTTTTAAGTATCACATTGAACATGCTAAATTACTCTGAAATGAAACAGATAGTAACACATAGAAACTGTGAACAACAAAAGAGTAAACACATGTGAATGAACGTCATCATGATTAATAATGGATTCTAAATACTCACATTCAGATTATTCAGTGACATTATAACCACCTAATGGTTAAGATACTAAATAAATAACTAAAATATAAACCAAACATTTCTAAACTATTTCTGTTACTTAGAGTAAACTTAGGATTCATAGTCAATAAATTTAACTCTTAAAAGTTCATGAAACAGTCTGAAAAGCTGTTGGTCTAAAGAACTAAAGAATAAGGATTTATTCTGTCAGATAAGATAACTTGGCTTCTGAAGCACATAGAAAAACGGGAAACATCTCATTTTAACACAAATTTCATGATTAGACAGATTAGTACATTGCTGAATGCGTAAGATGTCATGATCAGTCATTTGTATTCTTTCACCAAAGGAATGCAGTCTTTATTAGTGTATGGTCGAGCAGGGTTTTACGACCGAGGTCTGGAGGTCAGTGTCCCCCCTTATCCTGGGGTCCGTATGTTCACACACTTTAAGACGCTAAATCTCAAATGGGAGATCTGGGTTGAGACGTCAATGTTTATTCAGATGGTCAGTAATGGAGTCAGTTTGAAAGGTAATAAAAACTCTGTCTCTGTTCGCCGAACTGACCAATCCTGAAGAGTCAGAGGTTTAGTCAACCTCCGCTTGGGTCACTTATTTAACCTGAAAGTGCAAACACGTCTGGAAAGATTTATATCCTGTTTCCTGGGACCAGATAAGGAAACTTTCCTGTAAGGAATGTGTGGGTTTCACATCCAGGGTTGTCTTGATTGCTACAAAAGCAGACAGCAAACAGCAGCTATGCTACAGGGAATATGGCATCACTAATTATTATTTCTCCATTATTAGTCCATTATTTTAACAATATAATTCTTAAATCTATGAATGAAGTTTGAAATATGAATGAAAATGCATCCTCCTAACACAGAAACACACAATTAAATACAGTCTTAGTGCTCATTCTCAAAGTCCCGTGGTTCTGTCTTATCCTTTTTTAGTAAATATTCCACCTCTCACACAACTTATCTTAAAGCCCAAGTTTACAAAAAGTTGAAATACCATTTCAAATGTTGTTAAAACAGGATTCGACTGTTGAAATGCAAAGACATACAAGCAACCTTGATTTTTGCTGATTAACAGTACACTTCGCAGTCACATTAAGTTTCTGCTGAATTCAAGCGCATCGAAAACAAGGAGAAGGAGTTGTCTTGTTTTGATGTTTGGGACACTTTTCAGTATCAATTAGAGGTGATTTTTTTCTTGGCGAGGGGAAAACTGTCATGAAAGTGCAGTCATCACTTACCTATAGCTTGTAAAACCTGCCTAAAATGTTGGGGTTTGCCAACGAGTTCACCCGTGTCACTGAGCTCCTTGCGTAAAAACGTATGCCAAAATATGTGGGAATTTATTAAAATCTCGCACATTAATTATATTTACACCAGGTTCACAGGGCAGCTTAATAAAGATGTCTGCCTCTTGGAAACACAGCTTTTTCTTCTTTAAATTTCGAATCTATCAGCTTCAAAACAGGCATGGGAGGGATGCTAGCGCACAGTAATAGAATAGAATAGAATAGAATATTCCTTTATTGATCCCCCATGGGGGAAATTTTTTTGTCACAGCAGCATCACAGACAAGACGAAAAGTGCAAAAATGCAGTTATAACAATAAGGGTCCTAATATTAAGAACTTAAATAAATGTAACAATTAAGAAAAAAATCAGAAAAGGGAGAAGAAAAAATAAAGCTCTCTACAATATACACAACTTAAATGCCATAAAAAAAGTGGTGGTGTAAAATCAGTTTTGTTACTGTTCATTGTAAAGTCTTATTGCAGAGGGGAGGAATGATCTGCGGTAGCGCTCCGTCCTGCAGGGTGGGAGTCTCAGTCTGCTGCTGAAGGAGCTGCCTAAAGCCCCCACAGTCTGGTGCAGTGGGTGAGAGGGATTATCCATGATGGATACAAGCTTTGTTAACATCCTCCTCTCACCCACCTCCTCCAGGGAGTCCAAAGAGCAGTCCAGGACAGAACCGGCCCTCCTGACCAGTCTATTCAGTCTCTTCCTGTCCCTCTCGATGCTCCCTGCCCCCCAGCAGACCACTGCATAGAAAAGTGCAGATGCTACCACAGAGTCATAGATAGTCCTGAGCAGAGTCCTGCACACTCCAAAGGACCTCAGTCTCCTCAGCAGGTGGAGACGACTTTGGCCCTTCTTGTACAGAACGTCTGTGTTTGTTGACCAGTCCAGTTTGTTGTTGAGGTGGACACCCAAGAATCTGTAGGACTCCACCATCTCGATGTCCAGACCCTGTATGTTCACTGGAACTGTTTGAGGTGTCCCCCTCCTGCGGAAATCCACAACCATCTCCTTTGTCTTACTGGCGTTGAGCTGGAGGTGGTTTGTGCCACACCAGTTGACAAAGTCAGTGATGACAGTCCTGTATTCCCGCTCATCCCCTGACGATACACATCCGACGATGGCTGTGTCATCAGAGAACTTCTGGAGGTGACAGCTCCCAGAGTTATAGCTGAAGTCAGAGGTGTACAGGGTGAAGAGGAAGGGGGAGAGCACTGTCCCCTGTGGAGCCCCCGTGCTGCAGACCACCATGTCCGATACTCAGTTCTGAAGCCTCACAAACTGTGGTCTGTCGGTGAGGTAGTCCACGGTCCATGCGGCTAGGTGACAGTCCACTCCCGCCCGCTCGAGCTTCCCCTTGAGCAGTGAAGGCTGGATGGTGTTGAACGCACTGGAGAAGTCAAAAAACATGACCCTCACAGTGCTGCCAGTGTTCTCCAGGTGAGCCATGGACCTCTGCAGCAGGTAGATGACTGCGTCATCCACCCCGATGTTCGGCTGGTACGCAAACTGCAGAGGATCCAGATGAGAGCTCACCAGGGGGCGGAGGTTCCTCAGCACGATCCTCTCCAGAGTCTTCATCAGGTGAGAAGTGAGGGCCACAGGTCTGAAGTGGTTGGGCTCCCTGGGGTGCGCTGTCTTGGGGACAGGAATCACGCAGGAAGTCTTCCACAGTGTTGGGACCCTCTCCAGACTCAGGCTCAAGCTGAAGATGTGCAGTAGCACCTCACAGAGCTGGTCTGCACAGTCTTTCAGGAGTCTGGGGCTGATGCCATCAGGACCCGTGGCTTTCCTTGGCTTCATCTTCCTCAGCTCACTTCTCACCTGGTCAGCTGTTATGGAGAGGCTGGGGGTGGTGCTGGAGGGGGTGGTGGAGGATGAGGGAAGGGGGGTTGATGGTGTCGGTGCTATGGGACTGAAGTGGTGTGAATAAGAAGAAGGAGCAGCAGACGGGTCGTTGGTTAGATGAGTCGGGGGAGGAGTGGGAGCAGAGTCAAATCTATTAAAAAACAGATTCAGCTCGTTGGCCCACTCCCTGTCTCCTGCTTCAGGTCCCCTCTCATGGCCCCTGCTATGACCTGAGATGGATTTCAGGCCTCTCCAGACCTCCCTTGCGTTGTTCTGTTGCAAAAGGTTTTCCATCTTGGTCTTGTAGCTGGCCTTTCCCTCTCTGATCTTCTTCTTCAACTCCTTCTGCACCCTCCTCAGCTCCTCCTTGTCCCCAGATTTAAAGACCCTCCTCTTCTCCTTCAGGAGGACTTTCAGTTCCGGGGTCACCCAGGGTTTGCTGTTGGAGAAACACCGTACTTTCCTGGTGGGTATGGTGTTCTCAACACAGAAGTTAATATAGTCTGTGATGCAGTCAGTCATGGTGTCGATGTCATCACCATGTGGGCCGCACAGTACATCCCAGTCTGTGGTCTCAAAACAGTCCTGCAGCGCCTCAGTGGCCTCCTCAGACCACCTCTTAACAAACCTGATGGTGGGGGGTTGTTTCTTCACCATAGGTATGTAAATGGGCTGCAGTCTCACCAGGTTGTGATCTGAGCGGCCCAGCGGGGGGAGGGGGGAGGAGGTGTATGCATCCTTGGTGTTTGCATACAGTAAGTCCAAAGTTTTATTGTCTCTTGTTGGGCAGTTTACATACTGGCTGAAGGTAGGGAGAGTGGAGGACAGCGATGCATGATTAAAGTCTCCAGAGATGATGATCAGAGACTGAGGGTGTGATGTCTGTAGCTTGGACACTTCATTATGGAGGAGTTCACAGGCTGCAGCAGCATCAGCCGAGGGGGGGATGTAAACAGTTAACGCGATGACGTGCGAAAACTCCCTCGGCAGGTAATATGGCCGCAAACTCACAGCCAGCAGCTCAATGTCCTTAGAGCAGAGCTGCTCTTTAACACTGACGTGCCCAGCATTACACCATCTCTCATTCACATACACAGCTATCCCGCCTCCTTTCTTCTTACCACTCTCCCTCACGCTCCGGTCCGCTCTGACGAGGTGAAATCCGTCCAAAGTTACGAGCGGGTCCGGAGTGAGTTCGTTCAGCCATGACTCCGTGAACATCATGAGGCTACATTCCCTATACTCCCACTGCAGCCGACTTAGTGCTATGAGCTCTTCCATCTTGTTGGGGAGAGACCTCACGTTTCCCATGATGATGGACGGGACAGTTGGTTTGTAACGTCTCCGCTTTGCCCGATGCTGAACTCCAGCCCTGCATCCTCTCCTTCTCCTGCGGAGCTTAGCGGGGATGTCCGGTCTCTCCCACGAAGGTGGCCGGACTTGGCGCAGTGCCAACAGCTGCATGTAACTGCATTACAATTCAGTCTGGACACTTCAATACATATCTATTAATTATTAAAACAGACTTTATACCATTAACTAACCTAACCATCACAACTATGGCATAAATGATGAGTTTTGCAAGGCACGCATGCACATTCCATCTACTTGAGGCTCACTCCTTACAGTTCCAACATCTCGTAGTTACAAACAAAATCAGGTTTTGTAAACATTTTAAAAAAGTGGCCCAGGCGCCATCTTTATTGCTCTAATTTTACTGAAAAAAGTGGGGTGTTATTCATTTGAAAAAACTACGGAAAGTTTTTCCTCTCACAAATTCTGGTGGGGGCTGGTTGTGGAGTACTTTGTGGGTGAGAAGGAGTATTTTGTACTGAATGCGTTGGGGGGATGGGGAGCCAGTGGGTGATGTGTTGGTGGAAGTGTGTGTGGGTGAGGAGGCGGGCGGCAGAGTTCTGGATGAGCTGAAGTTTATTTAGGAGAGTGGAGGTAGTGCCATGGAGGAGACTGTAACAATAATCTAGCCGGGATGAAATGAATGCATGTATGAGGGTTTCAGCTGCGGGGTAGGAGAGGGAGGGACGGAGGCGGGCAATGTTTTTGACGTGGTAGTAGGCTGTTTTGATGATTTGCTTTACGTGCTGGGTGAAGGAGAGGTTGCTGTCGAAGAGAATTCCAAGGTTACGACAGTGGGAGGAGGGGGAGAGGGTGGAGTTGTCAATGGAGAGATGAATGTCTGTGACTGTGGAGGTGAGGGAGTTTGGGCCGATGATGAGGAGATCTGTTTTGTTATAGTTGAGCTTGAGGAAGTTGCTGTCCATCCAGTGTTTGACATCAGAGAGGCAGTTTGAGAGGGAGCGGTGGGTCTGGGGGGTGATGGAGGTGCAAGAGATGTATAATTGAATGTCATCAGCGTAGCAGTGGAAGTGAAGGTTGTGTTGATGGAGGATGTGGCCAAGAGGGAGGAGGTAGATGATGAGGAGGAGGGGACCAAGCACCGAGCCCTGGGGGACACCTTGGGGCACGGAGGCAGTTGTGGAGGAGCAGTTGTTGATGTGGATGAAGTGATTCCGGTCTGTGAGATATGAGTGGATCCAGTTAAGAGCGGTGTCTGTGATATTGAGGAGGGAATGTAGGCGGGACAGGAGGATGGCATGGTCGTTGGTGTCGAAAGTGGCGGAGAGGTCAAGGAGGATGAGGATGGAGAGTTGGCTTGAGTCAGCAGAAATGAGGAGGTCATTGGTGACTTTGATGAGGGTAGTTTCGGTGCTGTGGTGGAATCCTGATTGAAACTGTTCGTAAAGATTGTTATTGTTGAGGTGGCTTTGATTTGTGATGCAATGACACGTTCAAGGATTTTTGACAGGAAAGGGAGGTTGGAGATGGCCCGGAAGTTGTTGATGTCATCAGGGTTGAGTCCAGGTTTTTTTAGGATGGGGGAGACAGTGGCCAGTTTGAGTGAAGGGGAAACAGTGGCGGAGTTGAGGGAGGAGTTGATGATCTGTGTGATGATGGGAGAGATGACGGGGAGGCAGTGCTTGATGAGGGAGGATGGGATGGGATCCAGGATGCAGGTGGATGATGACATGGAGCAGATGATGTTGGTCACGTCGGTTGAAGAAACAGGTGAGAAGCGGGAGAGTGCTGATGGGATGAGGGGAGGAGGGGAGGAGCTGGGAATGGAGGGTGGGGGAAGGGAGTTGTAGATTGTGTTGATTTTGGATTGAAAAGAGGAGTGGAATGAGTTGCACTTTTCTGGGGTGAAGGTGATGGAGGTACTGTCTATGGGGTGAAGCAGTTTTTTGACTGTGGAGAAAAGAGCCTTTTGGTTACTGGAGCCAGAGTGGATGAGGTTGGAGTAAAAGGAAGAAAGGGCGGAAGTGAGGGCTGTTCTGTACAGGTGGAGATGGTCGGTGTAGGCTTGGAGATGGACAGTGAGGCCGGTTTTGCGGTAGAGATGTTCCAGTTGGCGTTTGTGTGATTTCATTTTGTGCAGTTCTGAGGTAAACCAGGGGGCAGAGTGTCTAAATGAAACTGATGGAGATGGATTTGAGGTCGAGGGGTGGCCGTGGGAGTGGGTGGGGGAGTGTACATGCTGGGTGAGGTTGAGGGTGTCAAGCAGATCCAGGAAATCGGAGCTTGTTTGCAGGTGGGGTTGTCAATGTGGAAGTTGAAATCTCCAAGCAGCAGGACAGAGGATGAGATGGTACTTAGGTGGGTGACAAAGTCAGAGAAACCAGGGCAGTAAGCAGGGGGAAGGCCAGAACAGATTAAAATTGTCAATGAAGTGGGTCGAGAGGGTGCTGCAGAGTGATCGAAGCCAGGAGTTTAGGATGAGGAGGCGGATAAAACAATCCATGCTACGTGTCGTTGGTAGCGGACCACTTATAAAAACAGATTTGCCACTGCACTGCAGGATGTGGAGAAGTGTTCTGAAGTTATTTTTTGTCAGTTCAGGCTGTTGGTGAGCCATGTCGTTGGTGCCGACATGAACAATGATACGGTGGATAGGGAGGAAGCAACTGCAGAAGACCGGGGAGTTTTGCCGTGATGTCGGCGACAGTTGCACCGGGGAAAGAGCGAGTGATGGCATAAAAAAAATGAATACCTCGTACGATGCTGTCACCGACGATCAAGGTGGTGGGGGGAAACAGTGGCAGGGGTTGCATGGCTCCTGTATCCGAAGCAGGGCACGTGGCTGGGCTGCGAGGATTCGGCGGTGTGGTGGAAGCCAGCGGCTGCGGGGATGGTCTGCCATTTCGGTTCGGGGCGGCGATGGCGGGCCCGGCAGAGTTCCGTCGGACTGCCTCTCAGAGAAACCTCTTGCGGGCGGCCGAGGATGCGGTCCGGCTCTCAGAGCAGTCATCAAGGCGGGTTCCGGGACACCGCGTGCGACCAGGGACCAGGTCCCCTCCGCCAGTGCCAGGCCATATGGGAATCCCTCCGTACGCCGGCAGGGATGTGTTCTTCGCACCAGCGCCCGTTGACGCCTGGGAGCTGGTCGCCAGAAGAGCCTGATCCTCGGCCGGCATGCAGCAAAGCACCGGAGGACGAGGACAAAGGTCCAGGGGCTCCGCTGGGTGGCCGTGTAGGAGCCATGGGAGCTCCGGCAGCCGCTGTGGAGGACGCCACCACATCACTGCAGAGAGGGGACTGGTTCGTGCTAGTGTTGGCCGGCTTAGGAGGATGTTCAAGGGCCTCGAAGTGGTTAGAGAGGGACAACCGGACTGTAGAGGCATCGCTAGAGGGATTTGTCCTGCCGCCGGTGAGGACCTCGGACTGGGTCAGTGGATTGTTCGGCGTACAGCTTGAGGTAGGCCCGGCCAGGTTCCAGGGGATGGTGTTGGTGGTTTTCATACCTCGGGTGGTCACTTCGGTCCAGGTTGAGTCCTGGTTGGGTGCTTGGTGGATGGCGGTTGGGACGAGGGCTTCGGGCTGTGAGGCTCTTAGGGTAGCGTGTCCTGGAGGGTTGCTTGGAGGGAGAACAGGTGGAGGGATTGCTTGTGGGCCACATCCATACAGGTTGTGAGTAGTAGGCTGTATTGGGACAGAGGAAAAAGTGCTCAGAAAGTGAATCTCGTTCCACTTTAGTGGGGCAACATAAACTGTGATTCATAAAATAGCTCTATTGATTAGTGCTGGGCGATATGGAAAAAAATGTATATCACGATATGGATCATTTTATATCACGATAACGATATGGTATGCTTTCAGTTCTATGAAAAATTAAAGTCTATACAGCTGCCCTAGTACAGTGCCAGTACAAGACCAGCACTTAAAAATTGAAAAATGAATAAATAAATACGTGGCTGAAGTGCGTTCATGTCTGTGCTCACCCAAAGTTATGCAACACTCACAGAAAACGCCGATAGTGTGAGCCAAAGCACTCCATAATAATAATAATAATAATAATAATAATAAATTTAATTTGTATTGCACTTTACATTTACAAAAAATCTCAAATGCTGCAGTACACAGTAAAAAAAGAGCAGCAACAATAAAAAAGCAATAGAATGACAGTCACAGATTGGCATAAAAAAAGCATAAAAGAATAAAAAAAATAAAGAATATAGAGTTGCAATGTAAGAGGCAAGGTAGTAAAAGCATAGAGGAAAGCTAACCAAAGGCTTTATTAAAAAGGTAGGTCTTTGGGGCTCTTTTGAAGAGGTTGTTCACATTGCTGAATTTTTTTTCTCCTCCAAAGCTGCTCTCTGCCTCCGTCTCTTGAAGCACGTAGCAAGACCCGAGCATGAATCCGAGCGCTTTATTCGCCTATCAGGGGCAGACAGGTAAGGTGATTTGATTCGCCACGACTCCAGAAATGATTGAAAAACTACAGAATGCCACAAAATTACGTTTCCTCGCGCCTGGCTTGAAGGGTAGAAATGCGCAGCCGTGCTCCCAGCTGACAGGAAGTCAAACCACTGTTGTAGTTCTTTTGTGTTGCTAGCGCGGTCAAGAGTGTTGGCTCTCACTGAGAGATGACTACAAAAATGGACGCACCTGTTCATCTGGTTGTTTAACACGGCTGAAAATGATCATCTATTAATGTTGTTCCCGCTCCTGCCCACTCCCGTTGCTTTTTTTCCCGTCCCGTACCGATCAAGGGATTAATTAAAAAATGACTCCCATCCCGTGGGATTCCCGCGCGAATCATGTGACCCACGGGAATTCCCGAAAAATGTCATCCTCTACAGGGAGCAGATGAAACAGGTGCCAGAGCGGCTGAAATAGGTCCCGGATCCGATCAAAAGAGGTCCTGGAGCGCGCTCCAGCTTGCTCCGGCACAAATTAAGCACTGCTTACAATGATCCCCTCACGTGTGTAACCCAGGTAACCCGCAATGGCGGGAGACGCTGGACACGAAGAGGGCACGTAAAGTGGCGTCATGTCGCAAAATCGAAAGAGAAATGCGAGCCTACATGTCAACGCATCCTTTTCTTTCTTCTGTTTGACACCAAATACACTTACTGAATGTGCAATTATTGTTGTTGTTACTATGAATCATCTGATGGCACAAGCCCTATGGATAAAATACAGCCTATTGCTCGAAACGATAAAAACTAGAAATGGCACGATAGACATTTTCTATCGTGCCCACGATATCTATCGTCCTATCGCCCAGCACTACTATTGATAGCAAGTACTAAAAAAAAATATCTCCTCATGCCATCCAGTCGATTTTTAGTAATCAGTGTTTCGGTGTCGAACTATTTCCTTTCTGCGGCATAGTGATAGTTGCACACGCGCAATGGAATATGCAGAGGGGTGAAGCGATTTTTGTCACATGGACTAATAAGAGCCGAGTCTCATTGCCATAGTATCAGAAATACACAAACATGGCGACGAGCGCATCTAGCAGCGAGACAGGAAGCGAAGAGGAAGAAAAGAACAGGAAAAAAGAAAACAGCCTTCAAAAGTGAAGGAACGAAACAATGCTATATGTATCTATCATCTGTCCAGAGTGAAGACGTTCTCGACTTTACAAGGACACGTTGGGAAACTTACAAAACTAGTATTAGAAAGTGGCTTTCTCTACAGGGTGAGACAAAAGACCAGCCAGAAATGTACATATATGTGAGTAACACAAAAAACGATTATATGGTGCTGCTGTTTTTGCTTGTAGAAACTGCTATGTTGATTCTGGCAAGACAAAATCTTTCTCAAATGTCATAAATACATCTACCTAACATCTGAAACAGTTATCGGTGCCTTAGTTTATGCATAAGTGAATTCAGATTATGAAATGTAGAAAATTTCTTGAAGAAAACGTCTCAACTCAAGTGATTTGCACCCAGATCAAATCTAAACATTTCTGACATTAAAACATGGCTCTGGGTCAAGATATCGTCAAGTGAAATCCATAACTCTTTTCCCACATAACTGGTTATTTAAACTTTGATTGACTGTCGACCTTAACACTTTAAGCCTATTAGATGACAACTTTTCCTTCAAATTATTTAATGAGTAAAACTGAGACAAATGAGTGAATTTTACTATGAAATTTCAAAGCTGTCTCACTTGTGACTCTGGCATGCCACTGTCTGACCCAGGTCAGGGAGCATTCCACAGCACAGGGTCTGCCAGAAGCCATTTTTCGTCTGAGATTTAGGATCAACAGGTCGTCTTTGGTGTTGTTTCCTTCTTGTTAAGTCCAGGTGTTTGAAATCCAGGCAAGGTTGAAGTTTTTTCCAAAAATATCCCCTTCTCAGTCGAGAGTTGTGCAAGCTGGCCAGATGTCCATTTTTTCTTTGAATAGGAAAATATCAAACTCTCTAAACTCTAAGGTGACCACACACTCACATCACCCCTCTGTTACTGAGGCTGTTAGTGACGAGCGAGAGTGACAGATAGTAGGTAGCCTATGCAATAAGAATGTTATCAAATGCTGAACTCATGGCAAACTTATTATTGTCGTTGTTGACGTTTATAACAGTTTTCTCTGTTTCCTTTAGTTATACCTTTAGATATACCTTTAGTTCAATGTATCTGAAGTCAGACTCTCATACTGAGACATTTTCTGTGCTCATCCATTTTCTCACTCTATGAATTTACTTTTAGTCACAGCTCTGCTTCTCAACCTTGCTGCCATGATTTCATGTTTCCTGCAATATCTCCCTATATTTAGTTGAAACTGTTAGTAGCAGATCCCACCTGAGACAGATTTCTTGTCAGATATTCTGTATCTCCTTAGAGAGCTTTGACAGAAAACTTGTAGAAACCAGCTTTTGAGCTTTAAAATAATTATCTTTTGGGAATAAGTGGTTATATTTTAGATCACAAAACATAAACTTGTGTGAATATGTCATCAAAAGCCTCCTGTGGACAGGTGTTGGGTCTTACTAAGAGATAAAGATAATGAGCATGGAATGGTTTGAATTTATCATAAATGTCTTCAGATTAATATTTGATCATTATCTTAAAATGACATTGATGCGCTGGGATATAGGACAACCACCTACTTTGAATAAAATGGAAATAAAAGAAACAAACGTTTAATTTAGAAATTTAATGCAACAACCTGCAGGTATTTTTAAGTAGTCGCAATGAAGGAGCTTTTGGGTGAATCCTACAATTCTTGGTGATATTTATTGGTCATCACAACTAAAGGACTAGTGCTCTGAACTGGATGCAACTCTACTCTTTTTATCAAAGAATATTGAACAAACAACAACTCTAAATGCAAAAGAATACACTTTGTAACAAGTTGTGGGAAAATCATAAACACATTACATGCCCTACATTTTATTGAAAAAAGGCTTTTAGAAGTTGTGAGAGGCACATTTTCCAAAGCCAACAATGACAGTAAAACTTCATTTGTGTCCTTAATCTATGAAGAAAATGAGAAATTAAAAAATAACGTGAACACTTCTTCACTGGTTTTTAAATGTATTAACGGCCTTGCCCCTCTTAATTATCTGACCTGCTTTTACCATATCAACACTCGTGGATCCTGAGGTTGTCCAACACCAGCCTTTCATCCATACCAAAACCCAAAACTAAAACCAACAGTGAGGCAGCATTTATGGCCCCCACCTGTGGACAAGCCTATTGGAGAGCCTAGGACCGCAGAGACTGATGATTTTTTTTAAAAGAAGGTTAAAGACCTACCTTTTTAATCAGACTTTTAACTAGTATTTTAAATTCTTCTTACATTCTTATATGGTTCTTTTTTATTTTATGTTGTCGCTTCTATCTTGTCTTGAAGATTATATTAATCTTAAATCATTTTATTTGTTTTACCTATACTGGCACTATTTTATTTACTGTCTTATGCATCCTCCTTATATCCTTTTAAGCTTTTCACTCTTTGTACTCAGTTTTTTTAAGGGTTTTTTATCCTATCTTACACTTTTAGTTCGTTTTAACTCCAGTGTTTCCTTGGGGGAGTCCTTCACACTGGGAGCTGTCCCTGGGCTGCTGCTGGGGGTGCTGTCCCTGGGTCCCTTGCTGTTTGTCAGGGTTGGGGGGCCTGGGCACTGGTGCCCCCTGTGGCACAGCCTGTGACTCCCCCCAGT